TGGCCATTATTAGTTTTAGGGTATGGTAACCCTAAACCCTATGGTAAGCCTCTGTGCTGCAAGGTCAGAAGACCTGCAGTCGTATGATCGAATCCACGCATCGGAATGAGCTCCCGTCACTTGTCCCAGCTCCGGCTAACCTAGCCATTCGAAAACATGCAAAATGCAAAACACGAGTAGATAAATAGGTACCACCACGGTGGGAAGGTAACGGCGTTCCGTGTCTAGTCGTGCTGGCCATGTGACCACGGATGATTGTCTGTAGACAAACGCTAGCTCTATGGGTTGGAAATGGAGATGAGCACCGCCGCCTAGAGTCGGACACAACTGGACAAATTGTCAAGGGGAAACTTTACCTTTACCCTTTATGGGTACAAAATAAATAACAGAGAGGCTTTTCAAAGTGCCAGAGTTATCCTTGAGTCCATCATGGCCACCTGGTAAGACTCTCATGCCTTTAATTTGTGTTGCACAAGAGATATAACAAATACCCTCCTTTACACCCAAAGAAGCACAAGAGTAATGTATGGAATAGCTCATTCCCCAATCCCAACTTTTGGCTTGCATGGGGGAAGGGGCACATGGCCAGCCCCCCTTTTTTAAATGCCATCCTCTTCCAGATTACAGAAGTCCACTATTGATGTGCCTCATTTAACGACCTCTTTCCCACCGCCACCTCCCGGCCCTGAAGCAGGCAGCAGCCTTGTTGATCAGCTAAATATTGAGATGCTGGACCACCAGACGGTTATGGGAGCCCTTCTTTAAATTCAGTTCTTGAAAAACCTCTGGTTGATGAATGTGGGATATCGCGCTTCTGGACCTACTATTCAAAAAGCCAGGAAATGGCCCAATATGGCTGCACAATATTGTGCCCATTTGGCCAGCAGGAAAAAAAAAGATGCCAAGCAAAATGGCCCGATACAGCTGCACAATATTGTGCCCATGTGGCCAGCAGGAAAAAAAAAGATGCCAAGCTTTACATAGCAAAAGGCAGCCTGAAGGTTGACAACACCCATGGCAGCAGTCAAGATGGTCTACAGGATCCCCTCTTGACACCATGCAAGGGAAAATCCCAGAAGCTGACTCCTTTTCTCATCAGTTAACCACTTCTCACCCAAACACAAAGCAATGGTCAGGGCTCTTTTTCAACAGCAGTTTTCTGTCAATTCTCCTTGCAAGTTCTGTGTACTTACAAACAATAACAACAACAATTATTACAATAATTACTTCTGTCTGACTTTCAGGTCACTATACTGATTTTAAATAAAAGGACTATGGATCTAGAGGCTTCAATATATAAACCTGTCCACCAATTTTGCTGGGAAAAGTAGGAGGCGATAGGAAAAGAGCCCTAATATGAGATGCATTAACTCAGTAAAGGTAGCCACAGTCCTAAGTTTGCAACACTTGAGCTGGAAAAAGATCTGTAACAATAACTACCACTACTTTGGCTGATTATCTTGGAATTTGGTTAAGAATTGTGTGGATTTTTTTTCCCCACAGGTGGTCTATAAAATTAGTTCAGATTGTATTTTAACACAATTAAATGGCCCAATTCACATGTCTCAGACAAGGTTAATCTTTTAGATTTACGCTTTTCCAAATTTTTGTGATGCAGTCTCTAAGCCACTGGTTCTTAGCCTTGGGTTACTCAGGAGTTTTGGACTGCAACTCCCAGAAGCCTTCACCACCAACTGTGCTGGCTGGGGTTTCTGGGAGTTGCAGTTCATAAACATCCGAGTAACAAAGGTTAAGAACCACTGCCCTAAGCGAAAAAGCACACAAACATACGCATATCTGTGAAACTGCTTGCCCCTCGAGACATAGATGAGGAAAGACGGTGTACAAAAATCTGTGAATACATGCAAAAAAAGTGTATGCATTTTTACAAAGCTTTTTAAAAAACTGTCAATGGAATGAAACAAACTTACTGGAAAAAAGAGGACCTGAAATTAACAGATTCATCCGCTCTTACCACAAGTGACATTTGCGTAGTCTTCCATGGGTAAAGTAGTCAAACAAACGAACGAACGAACGAATGAAAAAATGACGAACCAGAGGTCCCAACAAAACACTAGGATTAATGAAAGAACATGTCATGTACTGCAACCGTGGCCTTCTGGGATGTCAAGTATTGGACCATGGTGTGTGTAAAGTTGCATCTCCTGTATCCCGCCTAGGGTTTCTTTTGCTATGATACCAGCAGCAACAGAAGTGGAAAATGGTGTTCTGAGAAAGAGGAAACCGGCTGAACCCTACGCAGAAAACAGCTGCAGTGGCCAAGACCTGGCCAGACGAAGGCTCTCCTTCTTAATTAGGTGTGAGTGTGCGTGCGTCAACTTAGGAAAGCGTCCGAAGGCGCCAGGATATGGGGGTCTCATGGTGCTGGGATTACCATGATGATGTCTGTTTCCTGCCGCATCATCCGGTGCGTGCTGCTCAGCCCTCCTCACCCCTTGCCAAGAGTTGTACGAGAAGAAGCCGGTTCATTATGGGAATGCATTTGTATTAATGGCCTGGCTTATCTCCGAGACCCTGGGGAAGGTTGGGAAATAGTTTCAATTTTGCCTTAACTGCTCCCTTTACTCCAAAAGGAATGGATATCTGGCCTCAAGGCAGGTTCGGGGTGCAAGGAAGGAAAGACGGAGGGAGAGGAGATGTTTTTTTCTTCCCCACATGGGGGCTGACTTACCCCTGGAAGTTGGTCACCCTGGCCTAACGGAGCAGGAGCACTTGGGGTTGGGGTGCTGGGAAGGAGCGGGTAGACCCAAAGGAGAAAGAACAGAGTGACACACATTTTAGTTTCCCCTTTTCATTTTGGGGAGTTGGTCATCCTGGCCTAACAGTGCAGGAACACTCGGGGTTGGGGTGCTGGGAAGGAGTGGGTAGACCCAAAGGAGACTGAGCAGGAGAGAGATGTAGAAGTAGGGAAGACAACGAATAGTGAGGAGTTGAATGTGGAAGAAGGGAAAAGAAGGGAATCAAAGGGGAAAGAAGAGAAGATTGAAATCTGTCTAGTGGAAGAGAGAGAGGGAAAAGGGGAGAAGGAATTAGTTTTGCTTGGGTGGGAAGAGGATACAGGGCAACTAAGTGGGAGGAGACAGTTCAGTGTACCGAGGAGAGGGAGAAAGAAAGAGAGGAAAAAGAGGGAGGAAAAAGAGAGTACGAGTATGGTAGAATGCGTGGGTTGTTGGAGGACTTCCCTAATTTGAAGGTAGGAGGGTTGCAATCTGACTCTCACAAGTCTAAAGAAAAGGGGACATTAGCAGAAGCTCTAGAATGAATGGCCGTGGTCTTTCCCTGGGGACAAGGTCCCTCGAGGAAGGTGATTCGGCCGGACCCTTCCTTCAACCATCCACCGCTAGGAGGAGATTGGGCCAGACACCCTTGTTGTGGGACAATATGCGCGGGCCGGAGTGCTCCGCGGAGGAAGCCCACCAATCGGGAACATTTTGGACCAACCCCTCCATGAATCTTGTCAATTTCCAATTCGGACGGTTAAGATCTGGTAACTGTCCAAATTGTGAAGAACTTGTCTTCTTCACAATTTGGACAGTTACCAGATCCTCCGCGGAGGAAGCCCACCAACTGGGAACGTTTTGGACCAGACCCTCCATGAATCTTGTCAATTTCCAATTTGGGCGGTTAAGATCTGGTAACTGTCCAAATTGTGAAGAATTTGTCTTCTTAACAATTTGGACAGTTACCAGATCTTAGTGGTTTTGAACCGACAGAAGTTGTCGTAGACTCACCAAATGTTAAATTAAATAAGCCTGTTAACATTTCAAAAGAGACTCGATCGTCTTTTCCCGCCAAAAAGGAGGATCTTTAATGAACCCAATCACAAGTGCTCACCCAGTTGGAAGTGGGGAACATCTTTGTCTTCTTCACAATTTGGACAGTTACCAGATCTTAGTGGTTTTGAACCGACAGAAGTTGTCGTAGACTCACCAAATGTTAAATTAAATAAGCCTGTTAACATTTCAAAAGAGACTCGGTCATCTTTTCCCGCCAAAAAGGAGGAACTGCTTCAGACCTTTAATGAATCCAATCACAGGTGCTCACCCAGTTGGAAGTGGGGAACATCACGGCACCATCCAGAGCAAACCTTCCAAGAACACTACCTGACTCAAACTGGCTGTCAAGTCTGACTCAAGTCACATGGGGGACTTGACTCAGACTCGACTTGGGTATTTTTGGGGAAGACTTGGACTCGATGCATGACTTGGGCTGATTTTTCCAAGTTGCGTTTTCAAGTCTCCATTAGGGACGGGCCTCCTTAGCTGCTCCTGCTCGTTGCCGCAATACTCAGGGGGCAGCGGCAGGCCCGGCTTCCCTTCCAACAGCCAGCTGCGGAGGTCTTGCACACATACCACTCTGAATAGTGCCATTTTTTTTTTGCCAGATAGCATGCTCAGTTCCCATAACCCCTGACAGCAAAAGCTTGTTGGAAGGTTGTTTTCTCACTACATTGGGTGTATCTTACCTCCGAGGAAACCCTCTGACATTGACTCCCTCTGCCTCCCAACCTATTTTCAGGAGGTTTTTGAACAGTTAGATCAACTAATGCTTTATGAACTAGCTATGAGCTTCCTTAATTCCAATGGCAGATGGTAAGAGGGGGACGATGGGAACTGTTCTTCAAAAAAACCAGAAGGGCCACATTTTCGCTTCCTCCAGGCCTTCTGCTTTCCTTGGACAACCTTTTGTATTTCTGAATCTTCATTTACTGATTATATTTAGCAATCCCACAAATAACATTTTTGATTAGTGAGCAAATATGATTGATTTGTGTCTGTCAGGGAGCTAGTAAAGTCTAGTAGCAGACGGACAAGGACTCAAGAGTCCCGAGTCAAGTTCCCCACTTGGCCATCAAACTCACTGGCCAAAATCCTATTGGTTAGCACAGTAAATCACATTCGAGTAGGCCCATTGAATCAATGGGGATATAGTGAATCAACTCCTCCATAGGTTCGGTTGAGTGAGAAGGCCCATTTGAATCAACAGTACTTATGGAGGAGTTGACTCACCAAATCCCCATTGGTTCAATGGGCCTACTCTAGTGCATCTTAATACTGCACTAAGCAACAGGATTTCGACTAATGTGCGAATGGTGCCAGTTGCACCCTTTGTCCCCACCCTACTTGTATAGAGTCGTTATGAGAATAAACCGGGGAATGGGGGAGAGCCACGTATGCTGCCTTAAGCTCCTTAAGAGAATGGCTGAACATAAACATAACAAATAATTATAAATAATAATATGATGGCCAATACTCAAGGGAGACTCAGACTTCACCTAAGTTTTATTCATGTCTCCCAACTGACTTTTTAAAAGAAAAGGCTGGTGGGAGTCAGACCAAAGCCCTGTGAGCGGACGTCTCACCTTGCAGGAGGGTATAGAAGGCGCCAGAGGCGGACAGGTTTGTCGTTATGGTGACATCGTCCTTGCTGGAGGTTTCAACCTGGACATGCACCGAGCTATCCGTGTCGCTCCGGAAGCTGCTGACTTGACCAGTAGGGAAGGTGATGTTCGTGAGACGGCCAAAGCTGTCGTATCTGAAAAAGGAAGGAGGCGTGTGAAAAGCAAACCGAGGAGAGGAGGAGAAGGAAGAGGGATGGGCTGGATGAAACCTCCATGTCTCAGTTGGTATTTTGTTTTTTTTAACGGTGCATTTGGGACCCCCTACTTGCTCTTCTCTGAAAGATAATTCACAGAACCCAGGATGATCTCAAATCACATGTGTCTTCTTATATAAACTAGCCGGTTTTGAACCCACGAATCGGCGGAGTTGCGGTAACAGGTTTGCCAAAGGGACCAATCCGCTGGAAGGCAATGCGTCAGAAATGTTGCAAGAATGACAGGCTGCACTTGGTACAAAAGTGAAATTGGTTTCACATAAGCAAGGCTTGAACAAATACCTTCTGAGACTGCAGTGCACAACCACAGGAATGAAACAAATTATAGAATTTAGCAGAATAAGAACCTCCCCATGGCTTTTCCCCCCCAACACATGTGTTTAGGTCTTGAGGCTTAAAAATATTACTGGAAGTTTGTCTCAAGAGTTCACAAATTTCATTGCTTATGCTAACTAAATTCCTGGAAAACTAGTAAATGGGTTTTGCTGTGTTTGGATACCACAAAGGACTAGTTTATTGTCACGGAAATGAGTCTTGCCTGTCCTGTATTCCCCTGACCCTACGTGCCAGAAATCACCATTAAAAGGAAGTTGGAAAGCTTTCTAATTAATGAAGTTAAACTTCATTTAATTAATGAAGTTTAGAGCTGAACCTTAAACTGTGGTTAGCTTTAACTACGGTTTGTTGAAACAAGCCTGCTTAAGAACAAGTGTGTGAAGCTATATGGATTCAAATGAGCCTCAGTAACGATGATCAACAATTTGTCAGGTTTCAGATATTATGACAATGGCAATTAATATAGAAGAGGAGCACAGCTTCCAGATAATGTGTTGAAATTGCTGTCACTGTTTTTATTACTATGATTAACAAGGGCAGTAGTATTACTTTTTAGCAGAAGGGTTGTTATTAGTATTTTTGTAGTTCAGTGAGCGACACAAGTGGTACATTATCATTATCATGAACATTAACCTTTAATCATGTAAAAGGGCCCTTGTTACATTGTTCCTTGTGTTAACATTACAGCTTCTTCAGCAACAGTCTGGCTGAGTCAATGTCAGCAGCAGTTTAAGAGACCAGAAGCTGTATAAAAATAAAATCCCATCCATGACTACAGTGGTGCCTCGCTAGACAGTTACCCCGCATGACAGTTTTTTCGCTAGACATTGACTTTTTGCGATCGCTATAGCGATTCACAAAACAGTGATTCCTATGGGGGAATTTTGCTGGACAATGTTTGGTCCCTGCTTCGCAAACCAATTTTCGCTAGATGATGATTTTGACAGCTCCCTCCGTGCTTGCAAAATGGGTGTTTTCGGGACCTAAGCTTTGCAAGACAGCGATTTAAACAGCTGATTGCCGGTTTGCAAAGCGGCTTTCCCATGGCCGATCTTCGCTAGACTACAACGATTCTTCCCCATTGGAACGCATTAAACAGGTTTCAATGCATTCCAATGGGGAAATGCTTTTCGCTAGACAACGATTTCGCTAAACAGCGATTTCAGTGGAACAGATTATCATCGTCTAGCGATACAACACTGTATAATGCACGGGAGGGCCGTGGAATTTTGTGTAAATTATTCTAATTCATGGAAATACTGCGCCCCTGCCTAATGCACGACAGTCATGGGATATAATTTTATTTTTATATTCAGCTGCTGGAATCTGGTAGAGCAGACTTTTCTCCTTCCATCTCAGGTGACAGGTTTTAGGTCTCCTGAAAGGGGTCAAAATTGTTATTTTTTTCACTTGCTGTCATTCGTTTTTTAACTTGACTGTTAAGAGAGCTGGACAGGCGCTTTGTGAACTGTGCGCCTGGTCAGGAGCCCACTGCCACGTGCCCTGGCACCTCGTCAATTAGTTGCTAATTGAAAACTGTGGAAAACTGGGAAAACATGGAAAACCGTGCAGGCTCACCAGCACCAGGGGGATCCTGGCCATTGAAAAGCCATTTGTTGGCTTCAAAAGTGGCACTGGAGTTTTGTTCTAGTTAAAGACTAAACCCTAACAGGACATCTCATCTGAAATTGGGTAAAACAGACAATAAGGAAGTCTCAGTGCACCTTTACCTCCATGACGTCACTCAACCACCAAATCATTCAGTAGGGGAAGGATGGTGAGTTCAATACCGCTCAGGACACTGCTGGTGTAGCCTCGCATTTTTAGGGAGACAAAACCTTCCCAAAGTCCCTTCATTTCACCATTAATCTAGCTAGGCCTTGTTTCCACGGCTGAAGGATTTAACTGGCAGTCTGGTCTCCATCACGTCCTGTAATATTCCCCTGTTCTTTTAATGCTCTGAGTTGCGCCGGAATTAAGGACAAAATTCTGCAGTGCAAGAAAGCTCTGAGCGACCCCGGCCAAGTGATTCATCACCTGCTAATATCCCCCGCTGCTGCTTGATCAAGCTACCCTGTACTTTTACAATCACAGTGGCAATTATGAGGCTGACAAAAGAAACCAGGGCCATCCATTCCCCCAAACGGAAACGTATTTAGCCAAGGTTCACTGCACAGAATTAAAGCAGTATTTGGTAGTTAGCAGACCTAATTGTTTGCTTGTGAACATTTGACACCATCGTTTGTCATGTGGCTGGTATAGGAACGAGGCGACGGTTCCTGAAATGCCCATTCAGAAGGACCAATCCTTCTATTCCCCAAGACCTCTACGTTCAGCAACCTTTGAATGCCAGATACGTAATCACTGGGAAAATGATTATTTATGGTCTTGCAGTGATTACGGAATTCTGTTATATTTTGTGGCTAATGAACAGAGTTACTTATTTATGCTTTTGAATCATAAAAGTTGGAATCAGGACTTGGAACTCAAGTTTCTTTTTCAGACTACAACTCCCAGAAATCCACACCTAAGATGGGTACTGGGAGTTCCCATCCAAAATGCTATTTTGTGTGCACTCGTTGACACAAAGAGAAGACAGCCATTTAAGATCTAGCACCTTGCCTACAGAAACTTATAATATTGCACTCATTGAAAAAGGGTCATGCTTTCAAAAGCCAAATATTCTGGGTGAATGTATTTGTGAAGGCTTTCACGGCTGGGATCCAATGCGTGTTGTGGGTTTTTCAAGCTCTTTGAAGATGCCGGCCTCAGAGACTGGCGAAACGTTAGGAAGAACAACCTTCAGAACACGGCCAAAGAAAACCCACAACAACCATTCTTGGTGAAGTTTGGACCAGCAAAATATAGGTCTTCCTTTTTCTATTCCAAATGTCCTTGGTGGGAGAGACTCCCCATGGAACATCTGTTAGGCCTCAGATGGTGTTGCATACGTGATTTTAACAAGCGTACATCAGGGAGAATTCTACACACTGAAGCATGCTCTAAGCAACAAAATTAATTCCATAATTATTTTATGAAGCCCACCATCACAAGATTAGATGGTGTCATAGAAGGAAATCAGAGCATAGCTGGAAAGTTAGTTTTAAGAAAAATGAATATATGGACATGCTGAAGCCTTCCATA